GCATGGAGGTCCCTAGGACGGACTGTGGCTTATAATAAATTTCGGTTTTACTCAATTATTGAAAAAAAATAGCCAAGTGAATGGAAACACATGAACTATGAACCAAAGGCTGAGGGGCCCCCAGCTGGATCAGACCCTCTGAATAGATGAGACAGTTGATTGGCTTGATCAGTTTGGGAGGCAACTAGGCAGTGGGACCGAGTCCTGTGCCCATTGCATGAGTTGGCTGTTTGAAACCTGGAGCTTATGCAGGGATGCTTGGCTCAGTCTGGGAGGAGGGGACTGGACCTGCCTGGACTGAGTCTACCAAGTCGATCGCAGTCCTCGGGGGAGCATTTGCCCTGGAGGAGGTGGGGATGGGGGGGGCTATGGGTAAGAGCAGGGGGTGGGAGGGGGGAGAACAGGGGAACCAGTGACTGATATATAGAACTGAATGGTATTGTAAAATAAAACAAAAGAAAAAAATTGTAAGTAAGATTACAGAAGTAAGAAAAGGTAAAACCCAAGGCAAAAGATAGACAGGACAATTTAAGAAAAGCTGGCTGGCGACAAGCCAAGCTAAGGCCGGGCATTTATAAGTCAGAATAAACCTCCGTGTGATTTATTTGGGTGCTGGGTGGCACGCCCCTCAAGAGAACAAAAACAAACAACAGCTCACAATAGTCATCTTTCCATTTTCCTCATGGCTGCCCATCCTATCCACGGCCTCTGGCATGAGGAGGACATGCCAAGAAACAAACGGGGAATAAAAGACTGAGACCACCAAGTGACAAGTAATGACCTGAGTCAAGTAACAGACTCCAGGGAGGTTTTGACACTTGTTGACATTTCCACAGCTTTCTCAGATCTCATAGAAGAGCCCAGGTTCTGAGTCTGCTCCTCCACATGAACTTGGCAACCACAAACCTGTCCACCGGGCTCCACAGTCTGCAGACAGCTTCCTCCCACTGCCCCTCACTCATCACAAGACCAATCAGTGGCATTTACTCTTAGAGACAGGGGGTGTGTCCTGCCAACTAAGCCTCCAGGGTGGTCTGACCCCAGACTGTGGCGATGTTTACAAATTCTTAAAACTCTGCCTATGTGGTAGGAGGAACAACACCCTTTCATCCCTATTATGGTCATTGTAGACACTGGGATCCACCCACCAAGAGGCAAATGGATGAATAAATTTAGACACACTGCCCTCCATAACAAAAGAACCTGGACATCCCGCTGGCTTCCCTAGGATTCTCTGACAGTTGTAATTTTTTTTTTTGTTGTTGTTGTCTTTGTTTTTTTTTGGGGGGGGGATTTCTCAGATAGGAGCTGAGAGGTCCCCAGGTTGTGAGTTTGGCCTTCCTCGGAGTTGAGTGACCTCACACCTGTACTCATGGCCCCCCGGGATGGAGCTGCCCTCCCCACACTGCCTGTCAATCATCCTCATTGACCAGCCACACAAGCCACTTCAGTGGCCCTTCCACACAGTGATAGTGCCTGCAGTGTCCATCACACCTCATGTCCTAGGGCAAGTGTTCCATGAAGCTTCACAAAGTCTCAA